CTTTCTCAGTCTGTACTATAATTTTGTTTCATTAAAACAAACTTTACTGGGACAGTTTTATAAACAAAGCTCAAAAAAGAAAATGTTTGCATCTATCTGCCTTTCTTCTCCAGCTATTTTATTACCTATGTTTTCCTTTCTTGAACTCAGAGTCTACACTTTGAGCCACTCTACCAACATTTTTTTGGTAGGGTTTTTTCAAGATAGGGTCTCTCAAACTAACCCTGGCTGGCTTTGAACCATGATCCTCCTGCTCTCTGCCTCCTGAGTAGCTAGGCTTACAGGTGTGAGCCACAAGCACCAGCTATTACCTGTGTTTTCAATCTCCTGCTCCAGTTTTAGGCTCGTAGCCACACACCTAATCTCATGTGTGTCCACCAGCCTCACCTCCCATTCTATTCCTGCCTCCTTTGTCTGAGTTTCTCTGCTGTCAGCTCTTGATGCTGGGCTTTCGTGGGACATGTTACAAGCTTCCTTCACCTCTCTTTTCCCTCCATTCCCAGTGTCATTTAATTAATTCCTATGGTTTTAAATACGACCAGATTGCCATCTCTTTGGGTGGTATTGCTAATCCAGAATTCTCTTCTGAGTTTAAGACCCATCATTAACGGCCTAACAGACATCTTACAGAATCCAACTTTGTTTAGTATGCTCCAAACCCAAACCTGGATTTCCAACACCTGCCTGTGTGTCTTGCTAGATTACCATTCTTGTAATAGGCACCATGCATTTGTTTAGAAAGCACAAAACATGGCTAACTTGTTTCCTCCATTCTTCATCCCATTGGAGGGATGAAGGCAGAGTGGCTCAAGTGGTGGACTGCCTTCCTAGCAAATGTGTGGCACTGAGTTCAAACCTCAGTATGGCCATTCAGGAGAATGGAGATCGAGAATCTGTTAAAGTACCCAGCTGTTCAAATCAGTTTTGCTTCTTCCTCATCTTTTACTCAAATAGCCAATCAATCCGCAGATCCTGTCATTCCAGTTCCAAAATGGTCTTGACTACATCTGGTTCTTGCCAAACCCACTGCCATGAAAAGTCCTAACTAATCCTATGTCACACCAGAGCCAAAAAACCGCCTCTTCACTGATCTCCACCTCCATTTCTGGCTCCTCCAGACCATCTTGCCAAGGAGCACCCAGAGCGATCTGAAGATAGATCCAGTCACTTCCCAGCAGTACTGGAGTTCAAACTCAGGGTTTTCCCTTGAAAGGCATGTACTCTACCACTTGAACCATGCCTCCAGCTCATTTTTCTCTGTTTAATTTGGAGATAGGGACTCACTTTTTTCCCAGGTTGGCCTGGACTGTGATCCCTCTGTGTGACGCTTCCCACCATTGCTGGGATGATGGCGCATGCTACCAAGGCCAGTTTTATTCCATTGTGATGAGGTTGAACTTTCTTGCATGGACTCTCCTGGAACTGTGATCCTCTCAATCTCAGTCTCCCAAGTGGCTAGGATTATAGGTGTGAGCCTCTGGTGCCCAGCTTCCAGTCCAACTTTTTACATAGAACATTCTTTCTCATTCTTCAGGACCTCTTCTCTAGCCACCTACCTTTAGTTCCCACATCTATCCTTCTCCATCTTTGTTCATGCTTGCTTCTTTAGGATATTTATCAAAGTTTGCAGTGACATTGTTGTTCACTTTTTTTGTTGGTCTTTTTTTCCTATCCCTTTCACTAGAATATAAGTGTCTGAGGAAAAAGATTGTATTTGTCTTGTTCAACATTGAGTCCCCTGTACAACTACCAAGGTTAGAGTGGCAGTCCAGGACTTGACTCACAAAGCTTTGGAAATGGTTAAATAAGGCATCATTTGGGACAAAACAGAAGGGCAGTCAACAAGAAAACAGCTCATAAATTAGCCAAAGAAAGTAATAATGGCTGAGAGAGATTATGCTAACAAACAGCGTGACCCCTTGCCCATCTCCTGAACCTACACCAGTTCTCAGATCCAAACTTATTAACTAAAGAGATGACAGGGTCCCCAGGAGGAAAATACCTGTAAACCAATGGTAAATATGTACTGTAAAGATGTCCCCAAGGGTCAGGGACTAGTAATAAGGAAAGGGAGATGCCCAGACATTTTTAGGGCTGTTAGAACAGGATCTGAGTTACCATGGATACCTAGAGACACAGACCACCATCATGCCCTTATCCAGTTAGAGCAAGGGCACATAGGGGCCGAAGTCCTGCTTACAGAGGACCCAGTAGGTCTGTGGACTCAACCAGTGGTTATTTCTCTGGCTACTGAAAGTAGAGTTGGAATCAACTCCTTAGGAGTTTCAGAGCCTTCTTACTAGGTTCTCAGCCTGTGGGTAAGAGCTCCCATAGTGGAGGAGGCCAAATGGATGCCCCTGGAACTGTGCCTGAGCAAATAAAAGCATCCTAGACCAGAGGGGATGGTGGGACACAATAGCGATGGTCACCATCAAACTTCCATTTAATTCATAGGTCTGGCACCTGTAGAAAGTGGATGGATTCTAGAAAATGACTACCAATTATGGTAAGATCAACAAAGTAGCAATACCGATCACAGCCACCATGCAAAGGTGGTATCATTTGTAGAGCAGATTAGTGTGATCTTGGGTCCAGGAATGTGCGGACACTGGTTGGAGCAAATGCTTTCTTTTTGAACTCAAACAGAAGAAAAAGGATCACAGAAGGGCAAGACATGGTGGGCTCATGTCTGCAATCCAGCTACTTGGGAGGCAGAGATCAGGAGGCTCACTGTTCCAGGCTTAAGCAAAAAGTCAGTAAGACCCCATCTCAACCAAGAAAAGTTGGGTGTGGTGGCATGTTCTTGTCATTCCAGCTATGTGGAAATCATAAGCAGGAGGATCTCAGTCCTAGTCAAGGCAAAAAAAAAAAAAGTGAGACCTTACCTGAAAAATAACTAAAGCAAGAAAGGCTGGGGTAGGGGGCGGGAGGAAAGGGAGGGGCGGGGGAAAGGGAGGAGAAATGATCCAAACATTGTATGCACATATGAATAAAAGAAATAAAAAAAAAAAGAAAGCTTGGGGATATGGCTCAAGTGTTACAGCACCTGCCTAGCAAGCTTGACACCCTGAGCGAGGAGGCAGAGCACAAATACTAGAATGGTGGATAGAGGTCACTGTAAATGTATCAAACCCACAGAATGTACAAAAGTAAGATCCAAGGTAAACTGTGGAGCCTGAATGACAATGTGGGTCAATGTAGACCACAGGTGTCCCCTTGGGTGAGGGGCTGACAGTGGCTAGCACGTGTGAGTTCAAGAGGTATATGAGAATGCTATACTTAGCTCACTTTTGCTGTGATCCTAAAAATATAGTTTCCACTTGCTTCTAAAAATATAGTTTATTGACTTTAAAGTCAAAAAAGATTATTTTGTAATATATAAACATCATAAGAAGTTCAAATTTAAAGTCCATAAATAACATTTGTTGCTCGGTGTCAGTGGCTCATGCCTGTAATCCTAGCTACTCAGAAGGCAGAGATCAGGAGGAATGAAGCCAACCAGGGCAAATAGCTCAAAAGACCCTATCACAAAAAAGGACTGGTGGAGTGGCTCAAATGGTAGAGTACCTGCCTAGCAAGCATGAGGCCCTTAGTTCAAACCCTAGTACAGTCAAAACATAATAATAATAATTTCTTAGGACACAGACATGCCAAAGATAAGCAGCTGGGACAGAAATCTTATGACCTAAAAAGTCTAAAGTATGCACTATCTGGCCTTTTACAGAAAAAGTGTGCCAGCCCTTACATTATGTGTATATATTACAGGGTGATCCTGGGGCCTGAGTGATGCTTGATCCTTAAGTGTGAAATCCCATACAACTGACCAGGTGACTTTATTCATATGCAAAAGAGGTACCAAATGGACCCATGACTACAAGTCATATCCCTCATCAGCCAGCCTGATGATGCTTGAATGGCACCAGCTGGGAGGCCATGTGCCAGAGAATGGAGTGTCAGAACGCAATGACTGCTGGAGACAGAGGCCTCCATATCACTCTGTCCCAGTGGAAAAAATACACAGGTTTGGCAAGCAGTGTGCACACGTGGAGTTGACCCCACTTATCATCATTCCTAATGACCCATTGTGGACTTTGTGCTTCCTGTCCTCACAGCTCCAGTGTTTGCAAGGTCAGAAGTCCTGGTCACCAAGAGTGTACTCTTGTCACTGCAAAGAGGAAGGACAGAGCCCAGCTACAAGTCATGGCTGCCACCTGGGAACTATAGACTTCTTAGGTCCAATGACCAGCAGATAAGAAGAGAAGTCTCCATCCAGCAGGAGAAGGGCTGTTACACAGGAGGGTTCAGGGATTCGGGTGCCCTGCGTCCTCCGTTATCAGTGGACTGTGAGTGGGCAGGTGCAGCAACTCTGGATCCCAGACTCTTCAGGAATGAGGGTCTCTGTCACACACTGGATAAGCCACTGAGAAGTGATAGGTGGAGGTACACTAAATACTTATGGAAGGATGGATGAGGAGGAAAGAAAGACGCCCAAGAGCAGATCGTAGGTCACCACACAGTACGTGAACTACAAGGTCTCAATAAAGCACTGAATGGGTTGTCATTTCCACCTTTGACTTTACAACAGGGTGTCCGATGTTTGTGATTTTTGCCTTTTGGTGTGACTGGATTTGAACTCAGGGCTTGACCCTTGCAAAGCAGGTACTGTACCACTTGAGCTACAGCTCCAGTCCATTTTGCTCTGGTTATTTTGGATGTGGACTGTCGCACAAACTATTTGCCTGGGCTGGCCTCGAACTACCATCCTCCCGATCTCAGCCTCCCAAGTAACTAAGATTACAGACTTGAGCCACCCGCCCAGATTGTTGGATGCTTTAATACCCACTACTCTTCTTGAACCTTTTGGAAGAAACGCTTTCAGCTCATCAAGGACCGAACCCCTGCTCCCACTCGTGCACAGGGCCCTGCCCCGAGGCTCCCACCTGGCACCCGCGCACTCCGCGCTCTCTGCTCCGCCGCAGGGCCCGCCCGACCCCGCTCACCGCCTCCGGGCTTCCAGGCGCGCAGCGATGCGGAGGCGCCGGGCCTGGATCCGCTCCTCTGGGTTATCAGAGTGTATGGAAGGCCCGAGGGGGGTTAATTGTTCATCCTCATTCTGGGGCCCTATGGACCCTGCCGGGTTCATGGCTGTGGCCTCCACTCCCAGGGAGCTCTGCCTGAACCGCCGCCGTTGCTAGGAACAAGCAGTTGCCAGGGAAGACCAGTCACGTGACCGCAGCCCGAGCGCGGGAGCGCGCAACTCTCAGCCCCGCGCGCTACCGAGAACTTTGCGTCCCAGCGTTGGGTTTCACTCCTCTCCCCTGGCGTGCATGAAAGCCCAGTCCTATTAACGGGGACTGGATTCTAGAAGGCGATAGACCTGGGCCAAGTTGTGATTCATCACTTTGTGACTCTCATGATGAACTTGACATTCGTTTATTCTTCAAATCAATCTTCCTGAAAATCATACTTACTAAATACATCGCAGCGCCTACTATATGCCACACGCTGTGCTGAGCTAGGGATATGGGTGACGTTCATTCCTTGTGGAGAGTGTGAATATCGGTCCACTCTGCGCTCACTGCCTCTTTGGCATTATGGACTGAGCTCTCTTGCGTCCAGCCAGCTAGTATCACGCGGCCTCTTTCTCCTCCAGAACGTGAAACCACTGTCCATCAATACATTCTTTCCAGCAAGGCGTGTTGTCCTCTGTAGCTGAAACCTACAACAATCTCATCACTGTCTGGAGTCACATATTAATAGAGGAAAGGGGAAGCAGAGGAAAATGGCAGAGCCTCATTTCTGGGCGGGACTGGGGTTTGAACTTAGGGCTTCACACTTGAGCCACACCTCCAGTCCAAGCAGAGGAAAATGGTACTGGGGACGGAGGGTCCGAATACAGAGCTCTCTTCTCTCTCAGGGAAGCAGTCTCCAGAAACTATTTCCTTGGTATTTTTGTGTCTTGTCAAAAAAATAGTTGTCATTAAGAAAGAACTAAAACCCTTTAAACTGCATACCACTTGACAGAATCTTGTTCCCTCAGCCCACAGAACCTAAGGGAAAAGGGCAGTGCACTGTGCCAAAATGCAGGTACTAGTCCTGACCTTGCCCTGCCATCTTGGGCAAGTCACAACTTCTGAGACTTTTCTTAACTGTTCAGTGGCACTTACTGTCTCAATTATTCAATTCACAATCAAGCCAAGAAGATAAGCCCTTGGTGAAGAAGACCTACAAAGAGGCAAACCGACAGTGTTTTTAAAATGTTTTTGAAGTCTGCAAGTGGTAGAGAACATGGAACTGCCTAGAGTCCAGCTGCTGCCTGGATCCTGATCCTGTACCTGGCTAGATGGGAAAAAGAGGTAGTTGCTTCTAGGCTTCCTGGCCCTCCAAATCTCTCTTTGCATTGGTTGTAACCAAGAGTGTTAAACTTTCCTATGGGCCATGGCATCAGAGAGGCAAGATATAGCTCTGAGCACAAACTGTCAGGTTCTGGTCCATGTTTCTACCATCCATAAGGAAGCAAGTACACACATGCACATGACTGTGGCTGACAGCAGAATACAATGAGATAGTGTCAATTAGCTGTTGCACAAGAGGCAAGTGAGAACAAAGCTACTACAGAAACCCATGAAGTACCAGTTAAGTAACTGCCCAGATACCACTCCAGACTTCAGAAGAAAGGATCTCACTCCATTTTCTGCTGTTAGGCTGCTGAGAGTTTCAGGTCTCCCCTGCTTTCTTCTCCACAACTGAGAAAGCTGCTTACAAAGAGGGTGGGGAGGGGTAAGGATATAGCTCAGTGGTAGTGCGCTTGCTTAGCAGGTGACACCCTGAGTTCCATCTCCAGCAAAACACACACACACACACACACACACAGCCTACCTGATTCCCACCGTATGTGCTGGGGACCCTCCTCTGTCTACCACATAACCACAATAAATGTCACAAACCAGTCTCCTTTCCTGGCTTTCTTGAGCCATTTTCTGACCAGCTAGGAGGCCCTCCTTGCTCTTGGACACCCTCAGTTATATAATAAAGTTTTTGCATAGTTGTGGAAAAGTCTCTCACCATTAAGAAGGTATCTTTCAAGAGGACAGTCTACCTCAACCTACTAATAGTTCAGGTTAGCATATGCACTGATTAGGCAGTTCTTGTTAACAGAATTATCCTAGGGAGATAATGCATCTGTACACATAGCACTTAGCACAATGCCTGATACGTGGTAAGCGCTCAACGGATGTTTGCTGAGTCAAAGAAATACACACAGATGTAACTGTATGCTTACACTAGTTACTAATATTAAAAGCTGCATGACACAAAATCCATGAGTAGAGGAAGTGATAAAGCATTCATGGGGTACAATATAATTTATGAATGAATCTGACCCAAGAAGAAATGTGAGATATATTAAAGAGAAAGGAAAGATAAGGCACACTTACAGTGCAATCCTAGTTCTATCTGAAATATACACACACAAGAAAGGCAGGACCTGGGCCAGGGAACCACAAAGTACTTGATCTCTGTAGGGCCTGGACTTATGAGTACCTTTCAGTCTTTATTTACTTATTTTGTGGTACTAGGAATTGAACCCAAGACCTTGAGCACGTTTAGGCGTGCATTTTATCACTTGAACTATGCCCCAGCCCAGACTTTCACATTCTCTATTCTAACAATGCAATGTTTATAATGAACACAAATCACCTTTGCTTCAACACAAAATAAATGCTGAGCTGAGTGCAGTGTGTGCCTCATGCCTGTAATCACAGGTACTAGGGAGGCAGAGATGGGGAAGATCATGGTTGGAGGCCATCCTGGGCAAGCAGGTTGAGACCCCATCTCAACCAACGAGCAGTGTGGTGAGTGGTGCATGCCTGTGATCCCAGCTATGCAGGAGACATAGGTAAGAAGATTGAGGTCACAGGTCAGTCCCAGGCAAAAACCTACCTGTAAAATAACGAAAAGGGCTGGGGTGTGTGGCTCAAATGGTAGAGGATCTGCTTAGGAAGTGGGAGGCCCTGAGTTCAAACCCCAATATTGCAATAAATTAAATAAGTATGTAAATCAGAATAAAACAAAAAAAAAAAAAAAAAAGGAAGGGGCAGATACAGTTTTCTTTCAGGAAATTTGTGAGAAGATAAATAAACATGCTTTAGGGGCACAGAGAGTGTGAGTTTTGGTGGACCTGAGTGTAGTTACACAGCATATACCTGCTGAGGGTCAGGGACTTGCTAGGTGCTGGAGGTTTGCAGACAGAAGGCAGGGAGTACCTGCAAGACAACTGAGAAGCTGGCAGAGGGAAGCAGGAGCACACAGCTGGGTTAAGACATGGGACATTTCCTTCCTCACCTTCAAATCTGTTACTGAAAAAAATGTAAATGCCCACTGCAGAGCTGGAAGAGAAATCCTGTTGTAAAAATGGGAAATATTCTCAGAGGCAAAGTTAGATAATGGGGGTCTTGGTTTATATACTTTTAAGTGTGTTGGATGTGTCTTGTTTTGTGGAAAACAAGATCTAGAGTTTTAATCTATAGAACAGTCTGGAGAATTAATGTCATACATTAACATTCTTTCTATGAGAAACAGCTTTTGAGGAAAAACTTACCACCTTACAAAGTAATTTAAGTGTGATGCATTATAGGGATGTATATGTATGTATTATACCTGTGTGTACATACACATAGAGTACTGGGGCTTCAAGGGCAGTATACTATGAATACCAGTTGCTGCCACCTGTTTCACACTGCTTTCTGAATTAAGTCACCGGGTCAGAGACCACCCAGAAGCAAGTAGCTGGTCTTTCTATACCAAAAACAAGAAAATTAATATTTTGCTTTGTAACAATCAATGATTCTGAGACAAGTGGCTGGACATTATTTTTCCATCATAGGTCCTCCTCCTTTTGCACTTGTCAGGGAAAAACAAAGAAGACAATTTGAAAACAATTAAAAGAATTTAAAAATTACTCTTTTATTTTTATTACAATAAATATCAATAAAAGAATTTAACAATTTTAAACTAAACCTACTGTATTACTCTTGGGGTTCACAGCAGCAGAAATAAACATAAATCCAGTTGAAAGGCCAAGGCTTGCAGAATCCAGTGACAAGAAACAATCAGGTCTTGATTATCCGGGCTAGCCACAGGGAACAGCAACCCGGATAATGCAAAAATAACATTGAAATGCACTATCAAAATCCATTGTATATAAATTATCTGAGACTTCACAACATTCCAGCAAAATAATTTAAGCAAGTCATGAAGCTCCATTTCTGAAAGAGTGAGAGTTCTCCCCCCTGGAGCCCATGGGCCATAAATGGGCACAGAGCCTCCCTCTGGCCAGAAATGGGCCTGTCCTCATGCACACCCAGAAGCCTCGACCCATGGTGGGAACAGCCATCAATCTTGAAAGCTGTCTTTTTGACTCACATGATCCCTGGTTAAAGGTAGTGGAAAGTGAAATACTTAAAGGGCTTTCTCCAGCCTGAGATGAACTGAAGGGAAAAAAAGTTGAGGCTCTGGTAGGGGAGAGGCTTGAGTTATGAGATATGTGCACAGAGTCCCCATGAAGAAAGAGTCTACTGAGGACTTACCATCTGGATGATAATCAAAACAGACGCCATGTATACATGATATACATACATATGTGGAGAAAATGTGCACATATTGAATATGTATACATACTCAGAGCAAAAATAACCAGGTAAATACTACATTATATACTACAGACACAGCAAGCCCTATGCAGACCAGCTACTAGTATGTTCAGTTAAACTTCTGAAAGGGGAAAAAAGGTTTTATGATCTTCTTCATCTTCCTGATACATTCTCTACTTGCAGCTAACACATTCCATCTGCTCGGGTGGTGCTGTTTCTGGGTACCTGGGAAGGAATGGAATTGTACTCTTGTTTCAAAAGTCTACAGAAAGCCAACTGCAAGGACGCCAGGCTACACAATTCAATAATTGATTTGGCCACATGTTCCTACTCTTTTTCTACAACTGGCCACCAATTTAATCTATGATGTTAGATGGTAAGTAAGGGGGGTAGGAGGGGAAGGCAGGCAACAGGGAGATTTTATATCTTGGCAATTATTCATTGTCTTATTCAGAAGCAGTGCAATTTTCTTAAAAATTGGAATCTGGAGCTG